CATGTAGAGAAATGTAACACAGAATTAAACTGGGATTCTGATGAACTGAATCTTAGCACACCCAGGGGTGCCTCTTAAGATAATGGCACGTGTAAGGGACAGTCACACTCAGAGGTAAATGTGGCATGGGAGCCCTCTTCTAAGTGCTCATGCCTATGTCCCGATAGAAACAGCACAGCACCTAGTCAACATTTGGTCTGCCTTAAATGGAAAAAAGGAAAAGAGAAAATTCCTCCTATTCTGCCCAATTGTTTGGTACCTACGAATAGCAGTATAAAGAATGCACACCCATTAAAGAGTATAAGTGATGGTAACGAAGAGAAAAATAGTCGGCATGTAAACCCGCCCTCAAAAAATGTGTTGCAGTATACAAAGAAAACTTCTTTTAAACAGGGTACTATCAAATACTGTAAGTAAAGTGAACCACCTTTTGAGGGCAATAAAAAGTCAATGCTCTTTCTCATCAATCCCAAAGAGGTATACATAATACTTCTGTCCATAGCTCTCCATGTGAAGTTAACAGAGTATCTGAAACATAGCAGGTAATAAAAATACCTCGTTGTTTGATTAGAAGGAAAGGATGAAGTCACTGCCTTCAACCAGATCAGAATCGAAGGAGGGGGATAAGTAACATACTCGTACATTACACAGGAATCTGTGGCTAGGACTCTAGGCAAACTGACATGCCCACATGTAAGCAATGGGAAACTGAAAAAGAAACTTAACCGCACACTCCCCACTCCAACACATATTACAAGTACCTAGGACTGTGCCTCACCATGGCAACATGTTCCTAAAATGAGCGATCTCTGAGCACTTAGGAAGTCAATTTCCAAGTATGGACTAAAGAAAAAAGGCTGAGAACAGGAATTGCAAAATCAATGGTTTACAGAGGCTAATTCGTAATGGAAACAAATGAAGTCAACTGGGTGGGGACTGATTGAGGTAAACTATTTAAAAAAAAAAAAAAAAAGACCCACTCTCTATATAAGGGGCGGGGGAGGTAGCCAGCACCTAGGCAGGTCTAGCAGGACACAATGTTGCCAAATATTCCAATTCTTCGAGAAAAGTGGAAATTCGGATTTTGTCAACTCTTCTGATTTTTAAAGGAAATCAATTAAAACAATGTTAAATATTGTGTGAGGCCAAGAAAATACACTAACAAGCCACATTCTGCCCTGGGGCTAAGAATGTGCAACCCTGGGTTTAAAGGATAAAACAGGTTACAAGGAGGATACTGGAGGTGAGAGAAGAACCGGAGACCGATCGGGCCTGGATGGAGTGGGGGATCACAACTGGAGCGTTAGGACACTATAAATGCAGATGGACAGGGTAGCGCTTCACTGCTCATGTTCTCTGAAATCAAAAATTAAAGTCCAAGAAGACTGAGCTTCTCAAAGTCTGGGAGCAAGCCTCAGCACAGCGTCTGGCTCACAAAGGACTCTTAAAAGTTAGCTAACCTTGACACTCATGAACTGAGGACCACACATATCAAATAAATACTGAGAAGCTAAAGGATTGTTGTAAGAGACAAATTTTAATAGGCAGGAATTCTTAGAGATTAAACCACGGGGAATAGTTAAAGGCAAAGCAGCTAGTAGTGTTCAAAAGACTAAATCAAGGAGATAAGATAAATTTGGACAAAAACGTTAGTAATAACAAGTAACAGAAGATTCAGAGAACAAGGAAAAAGGATTTTACCAATAAAAATTATGAGATAGGAAAAGATTACAGAAGACTTTGGAAGGAATTTAATCTGGGTCACATTTATGTATTTTATTCTCTCTAATCTTATCTCTTATCTCACTTTATTTTTTCTCAAATCAGGGTGATACTTACAAATCAATGTCATTTCCCTATCCATCCTACTCAAAAAAAAAGTCCTAGAAACCAACAATGAATCTTGCAATTAATAACATTAAAAAAAAAGAAATTTTTTTTTAACATTTATTTTTGAGAGACAGATCGTGAGCGGGGGAGGGGCAGAGAGAGAGGGAAACACAGAATCTGAAGCAGGCTCCTGACTCTGAGCCTTCAGCACAGAGCCCGACGCTGGGCTCGGACGCTGGGCTCGAACTCGAGATCATGACCTGAGCTGAAATTGGACGCTCAACCGACTGAGCCACCCAGGCGCCCCAACAATTAACAACATCTTTCACAGGGCGCCCGGGGGGTTCAACCGGTTAAGCATCCAACTCTTGATTTCGGCTCAGGTCATGATCTCAGGGTTTGTGGGTTTGAGCCCCACACTGGGCTCCGTGCTTGGGATTCTCTCTCTCCCTCTCTCTCTCTCTGCCCCTCCTCGGCTCACACTGTGACTCTCTCTCCCTCTCCCTCTCTCAAAATAAATAAGTAAACTTTAAAAAATAACATCTCTGAATCATGGAAATGCGACACATGTCGCAGTTCTCTTTTCTGTAGAACATTAAATAAAAAAGGAAGCAGGAAGCAGGGAGCAGCAGATTTAAAGTAGCCTAAAGGTAAATGGTGCCAATCAGAAATGATGAAACTTCTAAAAGAAAAAGAAGAACAGAAAGACTTGACCAATTCTAGAATGTATCCAAATAGGAAGAGGCATCCAGGGGGGCGCCTGGTTGGCTCAGTTGCAAGACAGTGGGACTCGTGATCTCGGGGTTGTGAGTTCCAGCCCCACGTGAGGTATAAAGATCACTTAAATAAATAAAACTTAAAAAAAAAAAAAAAAAGAGGCAGCCAGAACAGCCAGAAGAAGGAAAAAAATCAACCAGAGCTTCACAAAATTCAGAATCTACCCAAGGAGAAAGTATAGGACACAGTTGTCGAGAAGAAATTGAACAGGATGAACATCAAGCCAAATGTATCGTAAAAGGATATCTGAATTGAGAAGCTTTGTTACAAGACCACCGACCTAACATCTAACACCCAAGCCAATCTTTCATGCCTTTGGTCCTGAAAGAGTATAGAGAGAGGTAAAGTACAAATCCATGACCCATGTGAGTAAGAACTCAAAGAAGTCTGCAGTAAAACTTTCACGTGCCAAAGAATAATATTTAGGTACTGAGTAAAGAAGAGAGATGTATAGAATCACGGTGAAAGTGGTCAGTCACAATGGCTGACTCATTCCTAATGAAGATATAAGTGGCAGGTTTTTTCCTTCTCTTTAATAAGGAGACCAGGTGAGGGGCGCCTGGGTGGCTCAGTCGGTTAAGCGTCCAACTTCGGCTCAGGCCATGATCTCACAGTTCGTGAGTTTGAGCCCCACGTCGGGCTCTACGCTGACAGCTCGGAGACTGGAGTCTGCTTCAGATTCTGGTCTCCCTCTCTCTTTCTGCCCCTCCCCAACTTGCACTCTGTCTCTGTGTCTGTCTCTTTCTGTCTCAAAAATAAATAAAATATTTTAAAAAATGAGACCAGGTGAAAGCAAGCAGTTTTAAAAAGCAAGGGGTGCCTGGGTGGCTCAGTCAGTTGAGCGTCCGACTTCGGCTCAGGTCATGATCTCACAGTTCATGGGTTCGAGCCCTATGTCAGGCTCTGTGCTTACAGCTCTGAGCCTGGAGCCTGCTTCGGATTCTCTGTCTACCTCTCTCTCTGCCCCTCCCCCACTCGCACTCTCTCTCAAAAATAAACATGAAAAAAAAAGTTTTTTAAAAAGCAAAACGTCAAAAGAAAGAGTAAAGTGAAGAGTAAAAAAAGAAGAAAGATTAAGAGTTTATAGTTCACTAGGGAAAACAGCTAGTTGTTGGGGGAGAGGATGACTTGAACTGAGGAATGGGCAATCTTCCTAAAGATTTTAAAGAAAGTCTATTAAATTCTCAACGTTCTCTCCTAACTCTCATTTACCCCATTCTACTACATAGATAACAAGCAGACAATAACAAAGCTGGAAAGGCACACCACCCATCAGGACATTACCCATCTGGCAAACTCAAGTCCCCACCCTGCGGCCAAAATAAATAGGACAAAACCCATTCCCTAAAACTCATACCCTAATACAGAACGGGTTTTCCTACATTTCTGACTCTTAATTTAACTGTGAACAGCCTTGGTTCTCTCTCTGGTTTCATAAAAGCAGCAGCAAATGTTAGGGGGAGGGTCTAGATAGGAAGCATACATTAGGAAGTGACTGCTAATAGGGAAGCAAGAAAAGGAGCTACCACAAAGTCAAGACCTTCAAATACAGTCATCTCAAGCCATTAAACGTAGAGGGCAAAGCAGCCTACGTATCCCAATAATCCTAAGGCATCACCGAACAACAGCTATTCAGATGATCCGAGTGCTCAAAAAAAGACTGTATTAGGTTCTGAACACTCTTTTCACTAAGACACAGTGAACTACTGTCCACATACCATTTATTTAAGATGGTTAAACACTTTTTAAATCTCATATAAGGCATAATTACCTTGAAAACAAAGTTGCATATTTTAAATTCCAGAACTAAAAGCACAGACGGTATTTTCTGGCCTTGCAAAAACATGGGCTGTGGTAGAAAATGAGGCACAGAAACCTAGAAATTTCTGGATAACACGTACGCATGAAAAGGCAAAAAGGAAAACAGAACACTAAAGGTCAAGGAAACCTAGGCTCTGAATATTGGCTCTGCCAGCGAGGATCTCTGTCAGCCTCTCCAGCTTAACCTCTCAGAGTCTCCATTTCTTCACCTGTAAAGTGCAGATGCCAGCACCACCTACAAGGCTATAGGTACTTAAAAAAGGTAAATAATTATCCAGAGAAGACGGGAATGAGTGCTGAAGAGAAAGCCAGATGTTCTTAAATATATCTTGGTGCTAAGAAAAAAAACAGTGTGGCTAATCAGCAAGCTTAAGATGAAAACAGTTTAAAAATAACTGTGAATCTTATTTTACATCTATACCCAAAGACCTGGTCATTACAGTTAGGTGCAAACTTCTAGTTGTAGCCTGCAAAACGTATCTAGTTTCCTCAGCATGATCAGACCTCATTTTATATCTCTCCCTTTAAACGAAAGGAGGTGAGAGAACACTCACCTTGATTGAAAGTCTTCATTATCTGTGCTTGTCCGAGGACTTATGAGTAGATGACAAATTAAGGGAAAACAACTTTGAAAAAACAAAACAAGAAAGGAATGGTGTCTCAACTTTTAGTGCAATCAATCCTTCAGCTCGCGGTTCTACTCGCCTCTGACTAGCCTGGTAGCCTCAACCTCTACCAGCCCTGCTCATCTGCTTCATCATCTTGCCCTTCTATTCCCCGCGCCCCAGCCCAAAGGACTCTCTGTTCCCTTTCTTCCTCTTGGTGGCAATACAGCCAGAGAGAATCTTGGTGGCGTAAAACAACCTCAGTCACCACAGAAGTTAAAAAGAAAACATACCAAGTCTCCCCCTTCCACATTTCATATACTTGAGAGGGTTAACTGAAGAGACTACTAAAAGGCTAGTTAAGCCCTTCAACTTTATTCAGACCACATACTACAAGGGTACAATTCTAAACATGACCAGTATCAAAGCTTTCCATTACACTGATTAAATATGCCAATAAGATGAAAAGGATATTGTTTCTTCTCTTCCTTTCCTCCTGAACTGTCCCGTTTCTCTTTCTTTTCTATCTTTTCTTTATCATGCCTGGACTCCTATAAGGAATGGTGGAATTAGTTGGGGAAGCGAAAACCAAATATAAAAATCAGCTCAAAATCCCTTTTTATCACCCACCAGTCACATATTTTTCTTCAAAAACTTATTTAATGATGCCAAAAGCACAAGCAACAATAGAAAAAAATTGGACTTTATCAAAAATAAAAACTTTCATGCATCAAAGAACACTATCAAGAAAGTGAAATACAATGTACAGAATGGGAGGAAATATTTTTGCCAGCCATACGGCTCATAAGGGTCTAGTATCCAGACTATATAAAGAAGTCTTACAACTGAGCAACAAAAAGACAATCCAATTTAAAAGTGGCCACAGCATCTGAAGAGATTTCTCCAAAGAAGGTATATGAATGGCCAACAAGCACATGAAAAGACGCTCAATATCATTCGTCATTAAGAAAATGTGAAATCAAAACCATGATGAGATACCACTTCACACCCACTAGGATGGCTAGAATTTTTTTAAAAAATGTAATTAAAAATAAAAATTAAAAAAACAGAAAATAACAAGTCTTGGCAATGACGTAGAGAAATTGGCACCCTCGTACATTGCTGGCAGGAACATAAACTGTCCAGCCACTGTGGAAAATGGTTTGTCAGTTCCTCAAAACGTTAAACATGGCATTACCATAAAACCCAGAAATTCCACTCCTGGGTATACAGACAAGAGACCTGAAAACAGGTCTTCAGACAAACACTTCAGAGCAGCACACAAACATTCATAGCAGCACTATTCACAACAGCCAAAGGGAACAACAAAAAAGTCCATCGACTGACAAATGGATGAACAAATGTGGTATATTCATACAGTGGAATATTATTTAGCCATAAAAAGAAATGAAGCACCAGTACATGCTACGCCATGGAAGAATCTCAAAAATATTGTGCTAAGTGAAACAGGTCAGACGCAAAAGGCCAATTATACAATTCCATTTATATGAAATATCCCAAACTGGTGAGCCCATAGAGAGAGAAAGCAGATTGGTAGTTGGCAGGTGCTAAAAGGGGAGGGAAATTGGGAATGACTGCTCAATGGGCATGGAGTTTCTCTTTGGAGTGATAAACACATTTTGGAACTGGCTACACTGATTGCATAATACCGTAAATATACTCAATGCCACTGAATTGTACATTTTAAAATGATTATTTTTATGTTATGTGAATTTTACCTCAATTAAAAAAATACTTATTTAAAAGGAGAAGCCTCACTTTTAAAGCATATAGAGACTTTAAAACAATCACCTTATAATTTTCCAAAACTGCTTTTAAGAACTATGACTACAGGGGCGCCTGGGTGGCTCAGTCGGTTTAAGCATCTGACTTCGGCTCAGGTCAAGATCTCACAGTTTGTGAGTTTGAGCCCTCCATCAGGCTCTGTGCTGGCGGTGCAGAGCCTGCTTGGGATTCTCTCCCCCACCCCCACCCCGACCCTCCCCAGTTGCGCGCACGTGCACGCTCTCTCTCAAAATAAGCAAACTTTAAAAAAATATTAAACAAAAGATAAAAAAGAACTATGACTATATATAGCATAATAATGCTTTCGAAACACTTTACACCTTAATAATGACTTGCCTACTTTATGGCAGATGCAGGAAATGTATTCTGAATATCATCCATGAGTATCTAAGAGAATGCACACTATACTTAGTTTGAAAATCAAATACGAGTTGCATACACATTAAGTCTATTAGGAGAAAATGTTACAAAAATGTTTAAAAATCACAATTAATAAAGACTTTATGAGAGTGTTACTCATCAGGGAGAATACATGTGACCGTATTTGAACCTCATGAATGTAAAGAAACTAAAATCACTGTTGGTGGAGTGGGGAGGAAAGAAAACAAAAAGGAAAAGCTAAAAGTCAATGAACAGAAGTAGGTGGGAGTGGAATGAAGGAAAAGGAAACTTCACTGATAAACTAATTCTACTCTCCCAGTAATTTGTTTGGGACCGTACTGGCTCGAATTTGCCAGATAAACTGCCCTCCCCCAATGCCTCTTCTTCCCACCCTCAAATAATTAACAAGAGATTATCAGATTACCAAAAAACTCCGTATGTGCTAATATTCAGAGAGTCAAACTTTTAAGAAAAAGCGTTCTGTCCCTTTGTTTTCCCAATTTACCTTTTTGCCACCGGAGGAGATTTTATCCATCTTTTCAGATTTAAACGAATCGCCGCCTTTTTCTTTGCCTGAAGATTTTGACTTATTTTTTTCCTTGTCTTTCTCATTTGGATAAGGAGACTCACATGGACTTTCACTTTTGTGTTTTGAAACCCCCACTAAAATTACAAAAGAGAATCATGAAAGCCTTTTCCAATTCAGTTTGATGATTGCTTCAAACGTATTAATAAATCTACCTACTTGTTCCATTTTCCTCTTTTCGCCTCTTGGCTAAGTCCGGTGGCACTTCACGGTCATTGTTTGAATGATCCTAGAACCAAGAAGTGTGAACTACATTGATCAAGAGGTTATGTTTTTGTTTTAAAATATTACTTTTACACAAGGGCACAGCTAACTAGCACCGGAGAGTATTGCCAATAGTGTCCCACACTTGGCAAAATGACATGAGAGACAGGCAGAGCTGGCAGGGATTATTTGGCTGAAGATCCGTATTACCGTAGAAGATTCAAACACACTTTCGGGTGAAAATATCAGTTTAAACACTAAATTAACAGTCTGCCAGGCAAGAAACTAGTACTTCAAAAAAGACAACAAACACACCACCATACAGGATATGACGGCTTTCCAAACTAGTTTTTAAAAAATTACAAACCCTTTTCCGTTCTTTCCTGTCCTTTTCATCTTTTTTCTCTCTTTCTCTGGATCTTTCCCTCGACTTGTCCAAATCTTTCTTGTCCATTTCTCTCTCCTTACTCTTGGACAGTGGTGGAGGAGTATGATTAAGGTAGAGCTGTTAAATTAAGGCAATATTACTAAAGATTATTAGTTTTCCAGTATCGGCATAACCTGCTTGACTGTTTACTTAATGAAAGACAACTGGTAGTTAGACCCAAAGTCAAAACCGGTCAGCTGTCTGGATTACAAGAGGTGAAATAAAAGAACATGGCACAAATTATGCAAAGACTTCAATTCTTGGCCTTACAAAATTATTCATTTAAACTCAATCAGTTCATTCCTGCCTTAACTGAGACTCATTAGTAAATCTACAAGCGACAGTTCTTTTTATAGCTCTGTTGTGAAGATCTATAACCACTACCTCTACAGGAGTCCGTATGTGAAAGTGTCTGGGCTTTCTCTACTGTTAAGAAAAAAATACAAACCTCCACACAATCATGGAAATTTTAAACAGTTTTGCCATCCACTTAGGAGGCAACCGATGACAGCAAGCAAAAGTATAAAAACCTAGCCAGGACTTGACTAATAAGTCTTTTCTGCCTCTACATATACCATGTAAACACTACCCTAAATTATTTTTATAAATGTAAAGGCTGCATACTCCCTACTTCTTCAAGCACTCCAATTTCTACCAAATAATCACAACTGGGAAATTTCTCTTACTGGTTCTAATGGCTCAGAAAACAATTTGGCCACCTGAGGATGATAAAACAACTCCCAAGACTGAAAAACGATGAATTCTTTCTCTGCCAAAAAGGCCCACAGGCAATAAACAGCCAAAGATCAAAACTACACTACCTAAATAAGTAAGAGATAATCTTAATAACTTATGCAAGTTGTAAATATGGAAATCTCGTATAATTCACTAGTATAACCTAGTGAATATGGAAATCTAGAAAACATTAAGGAAGTAATCAGATTCCTATCCTTACAGCATTTTTAACTGTGCTATAAGCTTATGTTCAATTTAAGACATTACAAGTCTTAGGCAGCAGTGTACAAAATATAACTCATTACAGTAACTACGCAATCCTAGATATACCTTAGGAATGAAAAGAATAGTGAGTCAAAAGTCAAATAGTTTTACATGAGGAAATCTTTTGGTATTCAAAGGAATACATGAAAAAAAGACAACCATCCATTTGAAAATTAAAGAAACACTTATTTAACACCACCAAATATTTTCAATTCAGTTGGTCAGAAATACTGCCATAGGAATGCAGAAGTAGATTCTTTAAAATGTCAGTGTTTAAAAGTTGATGATCAACTGAAATAGACAAAATGTTTATTAATAACAAAGAGTAAGAGAATGAAAAACAGTCATAAAAGTGCTTGTCCGAAAGGTGCTCTTGCTGGGTTAATGCCCTAAGCAACACTTCAAGATTTTCTAATTGTGAGGTTTATTCATATCTTAAGTTAATATTACGTATGAAACTGATAAGACAAAAGAAATAATATATTCCTGCAATACTCAAAGATTTCTCTAAGGGAAGTATTCATTCTCCTGATAAAAGTAAAAAAAAAAGCGGGGGGTGGGGGGGGAGGGGAGTGTGATTACAAATAAGTACACACAAGCACACCCATGCACACACACACACCCCCTCCAAAGGAATAAAGTTTTTAATTGTGCCTAACTTGAATTCTGTATTGCAGGGAACTGAAAAACCAATACATTCTTAGTTTAGGAACATACCTAACCCTATTCCTTCTTCCTACCCTTCTAAGAATAGTTCTGATCACAATATTCTCTTTTCCACAATAACAGGCAGTCTCTCGTTGCCTGTGGAATAAAATGCATACTCCTTAGCTCAGGTATTTCCAAGCTCTTCGCAATCTTTGCACAATTATATCCTGCTATGGGCAAACTCAATACACTCTATGCTGTGGCTACCAGTGGCTCCCTAACTCCCTGTCCATCCCAGCAGTTCTCTTGACCACAATGGCTGCTCACTTTGATCTTAATCTCTTAAAACCCTACTAACCTTCACAGACAGCTCAAAAGCCATCAGCACTTCAATCATCCCTCAATTCTGCAACTCACTTGGTGGTGATCTCTTGATTATTCTGTATCAACGTTTTTTGTGACAAGTATTCCCTATTAATTTCATGTCACTTATTTTTGCCCATAACACAGTTTCCAGTATGGTAGGGGAGCTCATTAATGTGTCTTTTTCACTTTTACATACTTCCTAATGCCTTGTGCACACCAAGTACTCAATACTTGTTTGCCAAACAAAATTAATGATTTGTTAAATTGATCTGCAGATAGCGCTGTTGGACTGTGCTTTTGATTTGCTTTTATTCTTGACATTGGGATCAATGGGTCCAAAAAAACAATAGGACTGATTTTCACAATCTGTTAACACTGCCACACTGACTTTATTAAGGCTACCGTATATAAAGATGGCCTCACTTCTAGGCTTCCATTTGATTATAAATCCTTGCTTTAAGATGAACAAAATTAAAACCTGAATTCTGTTTTGAGGATGGTTACTGCTGCCCTCCTAAATTATAGAGAAGCTTGGGTAAAGGAGGATGCTGCTTTTCACACTTTCTTCATCAAATACAGCTGCTAGGATTGCTAGGTGAAAACACAAGTGACCAAACTGGAAGTATGCCAATTGGAAATTGGGGGTGGAAGGTAGACAGACAGAAAAGATTTGGATATTAAGCTAGATTTTTCTCCCTTTAATCCACCTGAAAAGTCAAATCCATGTATTACTTTTACCATGGATTAGAAAGCAAAAATAGAAAGTAACTTAAAAAAAAAAAAAAAAGAGGATCCCAGGGACAAAGCATAACTAAAAAATTAAACTAACACACAGAAACAATTTTATATGTATGGGTGACAACACGAAAGAAAGAGACACATATCGCTCAAATCCTTGAAAAAGGAAAAGCTACCCAGAAACGGTGAGTTTATATAGATGGTCAATTTTAGAGATCAAAGTCCGGTAAAGTTGTTTTTCTAAGACATTCATATGCTACTGTACCTTCCTAGACATATAAGAAAAATGCAACATCAACTACTGTGCAGACCAGTTAACCTTTGAATGCTTTACCAAAGTCCAAAAGCATAAGAGTTCATTTCAAATATTTATTGAACACCTAATCACATCACCAAGTTACCATACCAAACACTAAGGATCTGAAAAGTGGTATGAGTCACCTGATTTTTATAAGTGCATTCAGATGCCATTTTCAAAAATTTTTGGTTGAATGTGGAATAACTCTACTGAATTTTAAATACCCAGAAAATCACTATCTTTTTCTGAAGGGGGATAGGGAGATTGACTTGTAGTAGTATAATTTTAAAAACAAGGCAAACACATTAACAGAATTAGGAACTCCTTTCAACTACTGTTGAAACGGGTGCTAAGAATCAAGGGACCATACATTTTTTTGTGTGTGTGCCATTTTTTTCATTGTAGTAGGAATACTTGAAGATCATCTTAATTTTAGTCCAAGTTTTGGTATGACTAACAAGTTACACGCCACTGGGAAAGGATCAAGAACTTTTTTAGTCTCTTATTTGTCAAAAAGACACTACCCTCCTGTTCTATCTACCTCACAGCACTGTTATGAACATGAAATGAGATAACATGTTTATCTCACGTGTTTTATTTTCAAAGGCTTCTGCAAATGTAAGGAACCATCATTTTCATCGTTGATTAGAAAATCCAGTTAACTATCACAGCAGGTTTCAAACTGCTTTAAAGTATGTTTCAGGAAATAAATACTCACAAGGTAACACTGTTAACCAATGAATTTAAAATAGCCGACACCAAGCCACTGATGGTTAAGACTGATATACACAATCCCAAACTGGTTATGAAAACCAACTATATTGCAATACAATTTAGCCAATAAAAAGTTTTACCTTAAAAGCAAGCATTCACAGTACAGCTAATACTCTTTTGATTGATAAAGTATACTCTAAAAACAATGCTACAGTTTCAGCACAAAGGCACACTGGCTAACCTGAACTATTAAAAAATGTGTGCTTATTTGCCCAATATCCACAGACATTTCATTATAAAGGTATGTATCTAAAAGCAGTTAGTAATGTCAACTGGCTTTCTTTCAAAATTTCATTTTGTGTTGGCCCACCAGTAAGAAATAATACTTAGCAGGTATTAAGAGGAGGCAAAGTGGAAAATCAAAGTGAAAGAGGGTACAAATATTATAATAAGTAGACAAAATAACATGAACAATGGACAATTCAACTACAATAATGAAATGAACTCTGCAGTAAGATACACAAACTACACATTATTTTTAGTAGAAGAATACTCAAGAAAGTAGAGTAATAGGCAAGAATTAATACTGACATGTAATTACATGCAACCATCAAGTTGAGTATTCCCCTCCAAGAGAATGATTAGTTTACATTAACCATATTTCTTGATATTACGCTACAACTACCAAAAGGTAGCTCGGCAGAGGCAATATAGAATTTTATGGATTGGAATGGGCTCGGTTTTTAGAACAGTTACATGAATGCATCAAATTTCTCTTCTGGTCTTTTGGGTTGTCCTAAAACGTCAGAAAACAACCTGACAGATTTGTTTTGAGAAATTAAGTAAGCCTACTCCCCAAAACAAACCAACAACCCCTTCCCCAAACCTTAAACGTATTTCCAGATCTTGAAACATAAAAGAATGCATAACACAGCAAGCAGAGAGATATTATGGAAGTGTTGCCACATTACGCGCATTTGGTAACAATCTCATTAAAAAGGACCGTTGTCATCCATTGTTTCAGTTTGTGGTAGTTATTTAAAGCTTATTCTACTAGCTTACTGAATTTACTAGAGCGAAGGTATCTACTAAATAAATGAAGTAAAGAATTTTTTTTTGTTTTACTTAGGCATGATGATTTTAAAAGACTCAAACCTTTGCTGAAGACTCCTTGAGTTCGATGAGACTGTCCTGTAGAAAATGAATGGAGATGACAGGTGAGCTGGCATAGTTCTCAGAACCCAGAGGAACTTTGGGAAGTATGGCTGTAACCTGGAAATAAACCAGCTACTTCTTGTGAGGATAAATCTCATGATGTCAATTATAATATGAATATCAACAATAAAAAACAAAAGCAAAACCATGTAATGGAACTGTAATGTTAAAAAAATAACTAAATTATATGTACTCAATGTAATAACAAATAAAAATCTTTATCTGCTCATAATTTAAAAATAAATGTCAATGCCACATTTTTCATAACACTGTACTTAAGTTATAGGTAATGTTAAGTTAAAAGGCTTAAGAAAACAAAACATTTTTTTTCCCTCCATAGAAAGTCTAAAATAGTGGAGGTCACTGTGGAAGAACATTAGCTTATGTTTTCATAGTTTTTCTTTACTTGGGAGGTTTCAAATTTTACTTTACTTATGACTCTACTATAAATACACGCATTTTTAAACCTAGCCCAAAAAACTCAGTGGCATTATATTAACAAGAAAACAACATGTATTGTCTAAAAGAGTAATCACTTTTTTGCAAAGTGCCTCTGGTGGTGAATCTCATGCCTCCCACAAAAAAAGCACTTAAGAAAAAAGAGAGAGAGAGAAAGAAAGAAGGAAAGAAAGAAAGAAAAGGAAAGAATAAAAGCAAGGAGAAAAGAAAAGAATAAAAGAAAGGAGAAAAGAAAAGGAGGAAAGAAAGAAGAAAGACAGAAAGACAGAAAGAAAGACAGAAAGAAAGACAGAAAGAAAGAAAGAAAGAAAGAAAGAGAAAGAAAGAAATCAATTACGGTATTCCACCACAGTGCTCTTGATGAAGAATTAGTTAACTTACAGTTTTAAAAGTTCAACGTACTGCAAATTCAAAGATTCCATGAAATTAGATGACTTTAGAATTAAAATTAAATATGGAGCAAGGAATGGCTACCCTGAGTCTTCAAGAAGGCTACACCCACGATTTTGTGCTGCAGTTGAATGCCTGGGGTTTCTCTTTGCTGGGTGGTAGGATTGGATGCCACATCTGCTTTTATCGTAACGCAAGGTTCAACTTGTTGGGAACCCAATGGGTATAAACAAACCTCCAAGGGAAGATACAACAGAAGCTGCATGCTCACTGAATATACACAACTACAGGAGAACTGATCACCAAGGAGACTTTAAAATGGAACTCCTTTCAAGACTCCTTCTTAGAAGGCACACATCGGTATGATGCTCATCAAGAAGCTTGATGAATTCAGAGGTATCTTGTTTATCCTGTATCATCCAGGAAGTCTTCACTGCTATATATTCTTCAATATTTATGCTGAAAAATAGGCTTCATTCTGCCGAAAAGATTCATTTGCTTGTAGCTACCATTGCGCTCCAAAAATGACTGCTTAAAGCAGTGAGGCACTTCTGGGTAAAATTTCTCTTGCACTTTGCAACACTACAAAATTAGTGCTAGGTCCTTGAAGTTTTAATATTTTTATAATAAAAATACTCAATAGGAAAAAATATCAGTCCACCAATATGTAAAAAATTCATTTTCTAATGCAATATAAAACCTCCAGTGGCTCCAGTGAATACTTGGCACAAGACTTGAAGGAAGTCAGGACACGTATTCCAACCAGGTGAGCCTAACATGGACGCTGCCTTCCTCAGGCTATACTAACCTTTACTGTTGAGGAATGCGATGGAGAAGGGTGGGTATCAATTTTGCGGCGTTTTTGTTCTGTTAGCACAAAAAGAAAAAGGTCACAGTAAGATTTCTACTTTTTTTCCAACCACTTAAGAAAAATCACCAACTTTTAAGGTCATCAAGTATTAGTTCCCCCGAGTAAAGTCCCTAGATAACTTGCCAGAACAAGAAAACAAGAACCAACTATTACACATTAACAAGAACCAAAAGTAAACAAATATAAACAAAGGCAAACTTGCCCCTTTCAGGCTCTGCAACATCTGATCGGGGAACAGGTGACTTCAAGGACCCAGAAACTGGTGTTTTTTCTCCTCCTTTAGCATTTTCCTTTGATTTCATTTCCTTTGCTATATCTCTTTCTCTGGATGGCTCCTTCTCTCTTTCCTTTTCTTGAGTCGATTTTGATTCTATGCTGGGGACAGTGGTTTTGAATTTCTCATCTTTAGCTTTTTCTTCCTTCTTGAATTTTTCTTTCTCTTTGTCAGACTTAGGTGTTCTTTCCTTCGTCTCTCTTGCTTTTTCATCTTTATTTGGCCGCTCTTCCTTCGGTTTTTCTTTACCATCTTTACCAAGTACCCTGGCCTCTGGAGTAGTAGCTGGAGTCTTTTCTTTTTTCTCTTTTTCTTTCTCTTTCCCTTTTTCTTTGTCATTTTCTTTAACAGCTTTGCTGCTTAAGAATAAAAACATGAGATTTTAAGATAGTCAAGAAACACACTCCATGTTATATAAATCATGAAGGGTTTCCTATGGACTTCAAAAATAAGAGAACTAAGAGTAGCCCTTTGAAAACTAAACGACTTTAAGACAAATAAAAAGGAAGTACTTCTTTATCCAATAAATAATAAATGACCAAATTCATGAACAGCATATTAAAAAGAATGATTAAACTGATGGCAGGCCCTTTTCTGTATATGTTCATAACCTCTGAGGATTACAAGGTTAGCCAAAACTTATCCCACAAACCAACCAAGGGTGCTACTATCAGGAACTGGATTACTTGGCTGGATGGATCCCTGGTCTAAATCAGTGTAGGCTTCTTTTATGTTAATTATCCTTACCCAGAATGCCCATAGCAAGTACTCAATCCTAAAAGGTTTTTCTTTTAATTTTTTTTAATGTTTATTTATTGGGGGGGGGGGGGGGGGG